GGGTTAGTATGATCCTAGATTATAAATGGAGGTGCTATCACAGGCCCTTCTGCTAACCTTTTTTGTATGAAGATTATGGCACCAACCTAGCATAGAGGGATTCTTACAAACCCTTTGGATTGCCACGTAGGACTGAGGGAACATGGCTCAGGAATTTCGTATCATTAGATCCTCCCAAACATATCTGGAATTCCCACTGACCTCTCAAGCATCCCAACTCCCATCCCCTAGAACTTAACTGGGGGTAGGGAGTGCAGCCCAGCTCTGTATTAGGAATATGAATCTAGTCTTTCTATTTTCCTTTCTGAAGCTTCCCATTCCTCAGCACTCACAAAGGTCATTTGATTCATGGGTTAGATTTATTATTCTCTTTTCTTTTTGCTGCTTACAGCATAAACTTTATGATAGGCTATTATATGAGAAACTTGATAATTAGAATTCCAAAATGTCTATCTACTGCAAGTCAAAAGCCTTGGCTTTTAAAGACTACTGACTCTGCTGTAAGTTTCAATAGCTTGTTTTGAACTCAAAGCTAAAAGGAGTATACATCTTTTGGTGCTCTCCACTTAACAAATGACCCTGAAGCAATAAAATTTATTGATTCATTGTGGAGAAGAAAGTTTTAGAAAATTATTTGCAAATGATGAGAAAATTTTTAATTAATACCTTCAAAGTTTTTTTTTACCACCCCAAACATTTTTTTCCAAACAATATTATGTCAGTAGTTGTCCCTGAAGCCATAGATTTTTCAAGTCAAGAGAAACTGGCAATTAATATGTGACTAAAAATATCATACATAGCAGGAGCAGAACCCAAACTGGATCATCAGTTTTCTAATAAGTTTTAGAGCTTTATTCTGGAAAAATCATTTGAAAACAATTCTGAAGTTGAATATTAAGTCTACACCTAGAAATTTAGTAAACTCAATAAAAAAATCAGCAGAATTCATTTAAAGTCAAACAGTATAACACACACAAAAATATAAAAGTTGAAAAGGGAGGTGGTGTGAAATTTGCCCTCATAATCTTCATATATGCTGGGCCTTTGAATATGCTATCTGACTATCTGGAACACTTTTTCCTTCCTCTTTTGCTGAAATATACTCATTCTTCTGCTCAGCTTCCTCGTCAAAGCCTCCCCTGACCATCACCACACTAGTCAGTTGCCCGAACTCATGCTTCTCCTAACAATCTTTTACCATTCGTCACACATCCACATTACACACACTCTTCTACAAACACTAGGAGACAAGTCTCTGATCTCATGAGCTTACATTCTAGTTGGGGGAGAAAAATGAAGATAAGCAAGATAATTATCAAGTTCATAAAAGATACTACATGTTCTATTGTATATCTTTATTTTTTGGTTTCTTATCTCTTGCAATCATTCCATTTCAGGACCCAGAACTCATTCTCATTCACTTTTGATATTATGACTATGTGATATTTTATAATATAAATTTAGCATAATTTATAAAACTAGTCTTTTATTGAAGGAAGTTTAGGTTATTTTCAATCTTGGACTATTACTAAAAGGGAGGCAATGGCTACACTTATACATAATTCACTTCATACTTGTACAAGTTCTACTGGAGAAAAAACTCCCAGAATTGAATTTGCCAGGTCAAAGAATACATGTATTTGTAAATTTTATAGCTGTTACTCATTTGTTTTCTAGAGGGGTGCATCAATAATACATATTCCCACAATAATACATGAGCGTTACTTATAAAACATGTTAATACTAAAAGAGTCCTTAATAAAACTTTGGAATTTTTTCTAATCTAAGAGGACAGCAAATGTATCTCAATGTAGCTTTCATTTGTATTTTTCTTATCATTAGTTAAGTGGAGAGTTTTTTGGGTTTTTTTTTTGGTGTACGCGGGCCTCTCACTGTTGTGGCCTCTCCCGTTGTGGAGCACAGGCTCCGGACGCGCAGGCTCAGCGGCCATGGCTCACGGGCCCAGCCGCTCTGCGGCATGTGGGATCTTCCCGGACCGGGGCACGAATCCGCGTCCCCTGCATCGGCAGGCGGACTCTCAACCACTGCGCCACCAGGGAAGCCCTATCTCTAGATATTTTTATACTACAAAGATTAACCTCTTGTGACGTAAGTTGCAAATATCACTTGATAGAACTTTCTCTTATGACTCATTGGTCTATGGAGATGATTCTATAACTTTCTCTTCAGCTTTATTAATATGATGAATGGTAGATTAATTGATTTGTTAACACAGTTCCACATTGTTTTCATTTTGAATTTTTATAATATAGTAATATTTTATCATAGCTGTTATGTCATAGCTGTTATGTCATAGCTGTTATGTTGTAGCTGTTATGTCAATGTCATAGCTGTTATTTTTTAGGGATTTTTAAATATTATTTGTTTTTCCATATGGCATTAGAATCAGCTTGCAAGTACCAAATGAAAATAAAATCTGTTTGTATATTTTACTGGGGTTATATAAATTTATACATCAATTTGAGGAGAACTGACTTTTTCTTTTTTAATAAATTTATTTATTTATTTGTTTATTTTTGGCTGTGTTGGGTCTTCTTTGCTGCACACAAGGCTTTCTCTAGTTGGGTGGCGATGGGGGGCTACTCTTTGTTGCGGTGCGTGGGCTTCTCATTGCAGTGGCTTATCTTGCTGTGGAGCACAGGTTCTAGGCACACAGGCTTCAGTGGTTGTGGCTCACAGGCTCAATAGTTGTAGCACATGGGCTTAGTTGCTCCGCAGCACGTGGGATCTTCCTGGACCAGGGCTCAAACCCATGTCCCCTGCATTGGCAGGCAGATTCTTAACCAATGCACCACCAGGGAAGTCCTATTGTTTTTCCTGATGTTGAAAATTATTCAAGTCTTTTTGCTCTTGTTCAGATTCAGAAGTATTTAAACTTTTTTATGTAGGTCTGGAATATCTCTTATTATTATATCAGCTTGTTGAAATTGTAAACTTCAGATATTTAGTTCTCATATTAATTTTGTACCAGATTACCATACTAAATTATCTTTTTGTTCATACCAGCTACAAAATTGTATAATTTGAAAGTAGTGACAATTTACTACCTCTTTTTTCAATTATTATAACTGTAAAATCTTAGTACTAATGAAAGTACCTTTGGTGTTTCTCCATTTCATCTAAGTTTGACTTGGATGTGAATAAAGAAAAAATTAAAAATTTTAACATTTTGGCCATAATTACATATAAATGCATGCAATATATTTTATCCTAAAATTGGAAACATAGTTTAAATATTGTTATCTCTATTTTATTCTTTTTGAATATACATTCTTTCAAATATGATTTTTATAATGGCTACATAATATTCCATCATATAAAAGTTGTATAATTTATTTTATTGTTTCTCTGTTACAAGATATTGGGGTTGCTGTGACACTGTAAATAGTATTGTGTTCACTGTCCTAGCACACACATCTTAGCGTACTACAAATAGTGTAATTTGTAATAGTGTAATAGTCCTTTAGATAAACTGGAACAAGTAAAAGTACTGGGACAGAAAACTATACAATATTTAATTTATATTTTCAAACTGTACTCCATAAAGGCTTTATTACTTACATATTCATTATTAGACAAAGAGCTTATTTCCTTTTTACTAAATCCTTGATGCAAATAGAGATATAAATTTTAAATGACTTTGCCAATTTGATATGTGAAGCATGGTCTGATCTTCTTGTTTTTTCATATTTTTAATTATTACTGAGATTGAGGGGTTTTTTTTCCCCCCAGAATTCATGGGGCATATGCATTTCTCCTTTTATAAATGCCTTGTCCATTCTTCGTGGCTGTGTGGTTTTGGGGGCACTGCCCTTTCTCTGATGAAAAAACTCTTGGTGAAAACTCTTTTAAATGTGGCAAACAGCTTCCTTCTCCCCATCATTGGTTTTTCTTTTGGTTTTTCATTTGTTTTTTCTTTGTAATACAGAATTTGAAATGTGTCTGAATATATAGATATGTTCCTTTATATTTTCTTTGGTTTTCATAGTTAGAAAATTTTCTCTTAAGAATCATATAAATATAGGAACATATTTTCTTCATCTCTGCATTTTTTGGAATGTTACAATTATCACTTACTAAATTGTTGTATGATCTGAGGACTGTTTTTTATATTTTCTGCCCTGTTCCATTTGTCTCCCTGATGCTTCTTTTAATAGTATTGTGCTCATTCATTTAATGAATTTCATAATACGCTATATAATAAAGAGCATATTCACCTTTATACTCTTCTATTTCAAAATTTATTATTTTCACTCATATATTCTATATAAACTTAACAACATTTTGCCAAATCCAAAAACAACATACTTGGAATTTTTAATTTTGGCAGTATTAAAACTAGCAATTTATTTAGGAAGAATTGATTATCAGGAATATTGCATTTCTCTTTCTCAAATTTTATATTTTTCTTTAGAGATTTTGTATTTTTTTTATCTAATAAGCACACACACATACATATGATTTTTCCTATATATACTGTATTTTATATCTGGCTAATTAACATTCTTATTAAAATCTGAAAGTAACAATTTCTTTAGAAAATTATTTAAAATTTTTCAAAAATTATATAGGTTATTTTTATGCCATTTCTCCTTAGAGAGCTTACTGCAAGAAAAATACATTATTGTATTAATCATTTTTTTTTGGAGCTTTCTTTTCACCTTTGTTTTAAAATCTAAAAAAAACAACATTTTTGCTCATTTTATTTAATTTTAAATAAGAACAAGGTCATTAAGTACAGGTCTCCAGATGATTTAACTTTGCAAAGGTAATACAACTAATAAGAATAAATTGATTTTATACTCAATCTCAAGAAGGTTATAAATATTAATTCCCTTATGATATCATATAGTATTTATATGCTTAAGTATCTGATGACTCGTATCACAAATGATTTTAAAATGCAGGCCCTAGAGTCCTATATTAATTGTGACTATTTTTATAGACCAAAATATCAAATGTTATTATTTATGTTTCAGGTTAGTGGGATGGTTTGGCCATGAATTAAGCACCAGATTTAAGATGGATAACAGTAAGTGTATTCAATTTTACTTCACAAGTCACTTTGTCTTAACTTTATTTCAATTTTTGTCTGTCTTTGTATGATATGTAATATACATGCCTCATGGAGAGTGCACTTTGAAAATGCCACTGAGAATTCTTAAAATAAGAAATGACATTTCTTCAGTGTAAGACTAAGTGTTCATAGATTTTAGCATGATTTTGAGCCTATCCTTTTGTAGGGAAATAAGAAGAAGTGAAATCTAAAGTACTCAGATCTCATCAATATGGAGTACCTAAAACATCAGGCAGGGAAAACAGGAAGGAATTGTTGGCTTGGAGTCAGACCCAGAGAGACTTAGGTATCAAACCCACTTTGCTGCTTCATAGTTTTGTGATGTTGCACATAATTATCATTTTGGATTTTTGGGGTTTTTTCCTCACATATCTAATGTGAATAATAATAATTATTTCAGGGTTTCGTTTGAGGGCAGGACACATTCTAAGCTATAAACCAAGTAGCATACTATTTAATAAATGTTCATTTTTATCCCTCTATTTTCCCAAATATCCTTCTTTTGTGGCTTTCACCACATACCAAATAGTAACCCCAATGGGTAGAAATGAAAGTACACCATGAACAGGGAGTTATCAAATTGCACTATTTCTTTTTCCTGACTGACTTTATTCTTCCATCACATGGGATACAGAGAACTTCCTAAATGTGAGAATTAAACTTAAATTTGATCCTTCAGACTGCTTCCAACCCTGAGATAGGATTTTAAATATATTCACATTTGTACCAACCAAGATGCAAAGAATAAAGATGGGCTCTTCAGTCATATCAGGAAAGCTGTGTTTTATCTTGGCTGCTGAAATAATGAACTGTTATTATGCCAGTTATTTAAATTGTTTGTAGTGGGTTTTCTTATCTGTAAATGAGGGAGCTGGATTAGATCGGGGTGGACAAAAGTTTTCTGTGAAGGGTCAGATTGGAGATATGCTAAGTTTTGGGGGCTATGCTGTTTCTGTGGTAAATACATAACTCTGCCATTGTGGTGCTAAAGCAGCCACAAAAATACATAAATGAATGAATGTGGCTACGTTCCAATAAAACTTTATTTACAAAAACAAGTGGTGGGCCAGATTTGACCCACAGGATATAGTTTGACTAGCCTTAATTAGATGCATCTCTAAAGACCCAGAAAATTCTCTCACTCTTAGTCAGTATTAGTTTTTAACTTTATCTCTAACTAGCAGTTTTAACTCTTGGATTTAACTTGCAACTATTCAATCTAATTAATTATAATTAGGATAATGTCTGATATTAATTTACCTTTTTAATATATCATACTTAGGCAGATCATTTTTTTTAAAGCCTTTTTTTTTCTTCTTTCCCAAGAGAAGTTACTTGACCTAGTAATCCTAATGTTAAAAGTCACCTTCCTAGGTCATTTCATTTATATTTCTGCCTTTGGGTGACATTACAATTACAAATCATTCGAATATTGATATCTTCCCCTTGTTGACCTGGTTTCATAATAGAAAGGCAAAGCATGGAGCAGAACAAGGAATGCTGGCTGGGGATGAGAGGGCAGAGGATGGGGTGCCAAAAATCTTCTAGATGACATTATGTTTGTCTTGTGTCTAAGGGCTCTAATTTTTGGTAGGCTGCTATGAAGGTGGGGGCAGAGGAGATGGAAGTTGTAGGTGAAGGAGAAATATGCCGGTGTTTTAGGTCCATGGCGTTTCTCTTAAATATCTCAGAAATCTCAGGAAGAAAAGTTTTTAAGTCTTATATTTTTCCTCTCTATTTTACTGTCATAAAAAAATCCATAAAGGATACCTTTTTAGGCACATTCTATAAAAATGACACGATATTAATTTTTCAGAACTGCAGTTAATCCCTGGGGTCAATGGATTCCGAATTTCAAATCCTCCCATTCTATTGGTCTGTTCCTTACATGCTAGTTTAGAGGTAAGTGATCTATGCTTCAGCCTTCCCACATCTTTACCTTTCTCTTTACCTGAGACATGTTGTTTATCTGCTAATCAGCTAGATTAATATGCAATGTGCATAAACAATGGAGGAAGGGCAGGGTTCTCCATTAGGACAGTGACTGTGTGCTAATGTCACTTTTTATTTATATATTCAGCTCCCAACCCAAGGCTTGGCACACTTAATAAATGTTCAATGAAACTTACATGGGGTGACATATTTTTAGTTCCACTTAGAATTTGTGTGAACCTGAATAAGTTATTTAATCTTCTACTGGTCTCTCTCTATACAAAACAAACATGCAATATTTAAGTCTTGATTAATTCACTCATTCAAACACTTACTTATTAAGAAATTATTGTGTGCTGGACGATGTTGTGATTACTGGGGACTCTGTTTCTTCTAGTTCTGTGAGTCAATGAACTGACAAACTGCCATGTGACAAAACTATAGGAAGACTTCAGGGGGTTGGGGAGAGTATGAATAGTCAGAGTAAACCAAAGATGAGTAAGGTTGTCCCATGAGGTAGGGCGGATTTTCTTTTTCCTCACTGGGGTTTCTATAACATTATATCCATGTTTAATTTCTACTATTATTGGCTCAATATTTTTCTTTAAGTTCATTCATGCTTCTACTTAAAATTAGTCTCACCCTAAATAATAGGGTACTTACCTATATCTATTCATTTTTACGCACATATAATGCATATATATATGTCTCCTAACTAATTATTTGGATATTGGATATTCATTAATTTCAGATTAAGACTAAATTTATCTAAGTAAATATATATTGTTAATAATTATATCTATATAATAATAGTATTAATACATATATTAAGGCAATATATACATACATTTAAGTAAAATATGTTTTAAGTAAATATACATATGTTTCCAATAGAGATTTTAAATATACAGATATTCAAATAAAATTTTGATTTTCTGTTTTTTTTTAAATTGAAAGCCTCCTAAAATCATCTAGGTTTAGGAAATTCTACTGTGGCGTATTCTGGCATAAGTGACCGGATAAAGACTTCCAAAATCTCTTCCAAACTTAAAATTCTAGAATTATGTGAGCATTCACAGCAGCTTCTCATTTTGGCCACTGGACAGCAGCGTCAAGTTCCGCTGTTTTTATACAGCTTCACCACTAGATAGTAGTAATCAACTCATTTCATTTCATCCCAATTTAAAGAGCACATACTCGGTATGACCACTAGATGGAGCTTGTGCTGTTTTCACTTTTGGGCAGGTTTTTTTTTTTTTTTTTTTTTTTTTAAGTTGAAATAGACCCAGTAACAAGATTTCACAGGCAGTGATACATATTTTAAAAAATCTTTTTAAGGGGGGGTGATGAAATCTACTCGGCAAATCAAATAATGATATTTGATTTGCTTTCAAAATATCCAACCTGAGGAACACTTCCGTTAAACATTTTTATTTTATTTTATTTTATTCTATTCTATTTTATTTTATTTTTTTGGCTGCATTGGGTGTTTGTTGCTGCGAACCGACTTTCCTCTAGTTGCGGCGAGCCAGGGCTACTCTTTGATGCAGCACGCGGGCTTCTCATTGCGGTGGCTTCCCTGGTTGCGGAGCACAGGCCCTAGGCATGCAGGCTTCAGTAGTCGCAGCATGCGGGCTCAGTTGTTGCAGTGCATGGGTTCAGTAGTTGTGGCGCAAGGGCTCAGTAGTTGTGGCTTGTGGGCTCTAGAGCGCAGGCTCAGTAGTTGTGGCACACAGGCTTAGCTGCTCTGCAGCATGTGGGATCTTCCCGGACCAGGGATCGAACCCGTTTCCCTTGCATTGGCAGGTGGATTCTTAACCACTGAGCACCAGGGATGTCCCCCGTTAAACATTTTAAAAGAAGATAACGTTTTGCTTATTTTGAAAGTTTATATCAGGGAGAAGATGAATTATAGTAAGAAAAAACAAGGCACCAAGGAATACCTTAGGAAAACCTAGTACTTAAAGTTTCCTCTGATTTTATCTTTGCAAATGACTTCCTAGCCGTATCTAGAAAATGTCTTTTAGACACTATCACTTTGGTATTCTCTGCAGTGGACTGACTGTTCTTCAGTATTCACCTCTTCTGCCACAGGAAGTCTTATTCCTATTTTCCCTACCAATAGTTTTCTTCCACACTGTATTATAGTCACCTAGACATGGTTTCTATTCTCAGCTGGAATCTGAAGACTGATTTATCTTCTCCTTTAATATCTAAACTTAAACCTGAGAAAAAGACTCTAAATGCCACAGAAGAGGTATGTACACTGCTCTGGAGCTTCTTATCACTTAAGTGTTTCTCTGCATCCTCTTGGAGATATCTTATTAAATCATTCACTGTCGAGGCTATGTTCTAACCAAAATTATCTTTAAGTAATCAAACCTTGTGTTAAAGAAGGTGTTTTCGAAATTCTTGCTTCCTATTATAAATTACAAAATTCTGAAATTACAAAATAATACGTTTCATTGTTTCCCATTCTCTACTTAACTGTTAAAACACTGTACCTTCTAGATGTTTCTGAGTTTGCCATGTGTCAGTGAATTAACCTATTCAGTACTTACCTAATTTATTTAAAAGTTACACATATAGGAGACACGTAGCTGAAGTTTGAGTAAATGAAAGAAATAAATACATGAATCAAGCTACCTTTCTTTGTTATCTCTACTTCCCTTTCAAAAAATATTCTTACACAGTCAAATGCCAACCGAAGAAGAGATTCTATACTTAAGAATCAATGTACATGGATATGATTTCGGATTTGCAATACACAGAATTTTTAAAAAAGATTAATTATGGCTTTGTTCACAATTAATGTGTATTTGATTGATTGATGGATACCATGAAAAATAGCACCTTATAATTAGTTTCAAACTGTTTCTTCATAGTGCTGCCTATTTAATCTTTTGTACAATAATTTAAAAAATATTGTGGATCAAGAGAAAGAGCAATAAGGTAGGAAGCAGGAGGCAAATACTCTATCCCTCACTGGGACACTAAGTGTGACCTTCAACAAGTGACAACTCCTCTTGAATTCATTTGCCTCAATTTTTTAATGAAGACGTTTGGACCAGATTTGGACTTCGGAGGTCACCTCAACCTTCTAATTACTAACTTGAAATTAAACAATACTTATATTGTATTTTGAAGGGTCATATTTCTATGTAGTGATAGGTAGACAATTTTAGACTTTTTCAGTACATAAATATATAATTAAATAGCTTAAATATATAAAATTAGAGCATTCAATTAAAATACAGGGCAAGTCAGAAGAAATGTACTCTGTCTTTCCTCAGAGTTATTAGGGAGCCAATTTTAAGAATTTAAGAATTGAAAACATCATGCTATACTTATTTTTCCTATTTAAACATAACTAACTTTTCTAGCTTTGCATTTATTTTAGTTAGCAAGAAAACTCACCCAAATAGTGGAAACTCTGCCAAGAATTCTGTTATAAGCTGAATATTTTCAAACTACACTTTTCATTTTTCCTAATTAAAAAAAAAAATTATTCCACAGTACTGAAAGCATGAAAATAATGAGAAGCAAAAAAAAAAAAAAAAGGGACATTTATTCTACTTCACTGTTAACTCCTATTATCCCCTCTTGATATTTTTATCTGAGGCCTCAGTAGAGACTTTTACACTCTGAGAAGAATTTACGACCGCCTCAGAATGCAGCTTCTCTTGTTGTGGTTGTAATGTGGAAATTAGTTTTACATTTAAAAGTTATTTTATTATTAACAAAGAGTCATGATATGTTAAAATTGACACATTTGTCATGAAAAAAAATTGGTTGCTTGTTATGAAATCTGCAAGAGCAAAAAACTTCATTAAAAAAAAAACCCTATAAACTTAATATTCCCCAAAGTCTTACTAACCTATGAATACAAATGAAATACCATTAAAAGTACTACTTTACACATTGTCCCCATCTGCATCTTATGGTCCCAAAGCAGATCCAGAAAGTGTACTAGAATTATTTAAATAATTAAAATATCCTCAAATTATTATTAATCTCCAAAGAGAAGCTTGTAAAGATTCCTGTCACATTTTTTTTTTTTAAATTCCAAACCTGACAGCCAAACCACTGGTGGGCTACACCTTACCTGTCCCTGCTCCTGCCCTCTGTACAAATGTTGATTCTTGGATCAGGCTCTCTTGATCCAAAACTTGGAGGTGTTCCCTTGAGTCTTTATTGTGCCAAATCTATGGACATTTTCTTTTACACAGGAAATGAAGAGATGCCTCTTACCAAGGTCCATGTAACTGGCCTAAAGTAGCATTTTTTTGCACTGAATATGTCAGATGCCTTTTGACACGGACCTCAAAGACCTCAGCTTCTATTTGCAGCTGAACTCTTCCCAGGCTGCAGACACAGTCCATGAGGTCTGGTTGGGAAGAGAGGCAGATAGGTTTCTATCCTCTGATTTTCCTCTCTTCCTTCAAGACATTACCTTACACACAACTCCCATCCTCTCCTTCAGCCACATCCATAGCTTCCATGCAATAGGTCAAGAAAATCTATGCCTGAATGGTTGAGTTCTAGTAGAATGCCTGCCCACACATGCCATGTGTATATAGAGAAAAAACTATTTTCATAGACTTCATAAAGTATAGATATCACCAAATGACCCTATGTTTGCTCAGTGGCATAACATGATACAGAATAGGGACATTAAGTGGCTTGCCAGTGCATCATTCTCTGTTTGCAGTTATTTCAGTTCTTATATGTAGAATATATTTTTAAACTCTATTTGACCTTAAGAGATAAGCTAGAAAGCATGTCTATTCTGACCCCTAATGTTCCAATACCAGTTATTTTGTGCCCTTTTGTCACTCATCTTAATATAAGACACCTCACGCAGCAACTGGCAGTATTTTCACACCAGTGTTAGAGTTTAGCAGGGGAGAAAATGATGAAAGAAGAAAAAAAGAAAGACCAAATGCTTCAGTAATAATACATGCATTATCTAACATTATTTGCTTTTCTGACCAAACTTAGCATCACTATTTAACTACTTGTTTTCTTGCTGTTAAACTGAAGGAGATTTAGGAATTGGTAAAACAAATATAAATAATATTGGTAACATTGCCTTCCACATAAGCGTTTAGCTCTTACTGCACCGTTTTGTGGATTAAACACACTTTATATGGGAATAGAAAAAAATCTTGATTATGATTGTATAAAATGTTTGGAGGAAAATTTTTGACATTTATAACAGTTAAATGCATTTATTAAGGTATGTTTTACTTGTACTAATTATACGAAGCTAATTTAAAATAACTCTGAAGGAACATTATGTTCACTTATATTTTTCTGCTTTTGCAAGTATTGTTTAAATGACATTTGTACAGTTTTTCTGTCATGGACACTTTGTGTTTAATTTTTAATGGCAAAGCACTTAAAAGAGGACATGTTTTCACAAAAAGATTATCTAAAATGGATGTTTTACTGGAAAGGTCAAAAGTGGGCATTTCCCCTGTTTTATGTGTGATTTACAGTTAAACTTTGCTTCTTTATAAATCAACAAGAAACCGTGAACCTGATTGTTTCTCATTCTGCAGATCTTTAGGCAAGCAACTATGAAAGCACTGAGGAGAAAATCTATTTTGCTAACTGGTTATCTGGAATACATGATCAAGCATCACTTCAGCCAGGATAAAGCAGAAACCAAGAAAACAGTTGTGAACATAATTACTCCATCCCATACAGAGGATCGTGGCTGCCAGCTAACCCTAACATTTTCTATTCCAATTAAATATATTTTCCAAGAACTAGAAAAAAGAGGAGTGGTTGTACGTATATCTCTTGCTTTGCTACCAGGTTTTTCTCTATGGGTTGCATGTTGAGGATAAAATTTGGATTTTTTTGTTTATGCATTTTTCCATGTTATTTCACATCAGTCAGTGAGGATAAGTTAAATGCCAACTAAGTATTCAGCACTGTGCTAACTGAAGGGCACAGAGATCTGTCATTTCTGATAAAAGGGAAGAAACCACAAATTTTGGTTGCAGGAAAGAGTTTTATGTAATTTATCCATTATTTTCATTATAGTTTGGGCAGAAAAAAATTTAGTGAAAACCCTAATATATTATATATTTATTGAATAAGTGGAATTAAAGAACATACAATATAGTAGAGGGAGAAAAAGGAAATCAGTCTTACTTAGTTGTTTGATTGAACTAAATTATTTTCAACATTTTCACTTCAGTCAAGAAAGATATGTAGACACATCTTAAAGAGTGTTAATGTTGTATGGAATTTTTTTTTTAACTGTTGGGCCTAAGTAGCCCTCTTAGTCTCTTGAAGAGAACTAATAAGTATTTAATGAGTAATTTCAGGAAAAATGGTGATAACATATCTATTTCCAGATTTAGAAACTGCTGCACTCAGTCTTCCAGACCTTTAGGAGAGGTATCCCCAGAGTCTGAAGACACAAATCAGAATATCAGCATTTCAAATCACACTCTACCATTTACAAGCCATGTGCTCCTGGGAAAGTTAGTAAACAACTATTGACTTCAGATCCTTCATCTGTATTTTTGCTGCAAAAATACTTACCTCAAAAGTTGTTATGGAATAAAATGTGCCAGCACACATAAACCATTTATTATATTGTCTAGTCCATAGGGCGTGTTTCTTAAAGATAGTCATAATGATCTTCAGACTACGCTGAATTATTTGAGCCCAATTCATGAGATTAGGGATTACTGAATTTAATGGAAATATAACTAAAACTATCCAGATCTCAGTGAGGTTCTCAATCATTGAAATGTGTGCAAGGGTTCCAGTCTCTCCAGGGTCTCTCCACAGATAAACTGTATACTCGATCCATTGGTTGCTTAAAAAGGATCATTGCTGACTGGACTTCAGGAAAGTACTTAGGATATTCATGTACCAACCCATTAATATTTTAATTATTATTAAGAGGGGAGTTTCAAATAACATAGAAACACTATGCTTTACTTAAAGTGAAAAAAATTGCTTATATATTAAGTTTTAGGGAAATCAGTATGAATGTTTTATGTAAGTTTCTCTTGAATGTGGATTTCCATTATATGAATGATGCCAACATTATTGTGGTTTTACTTTTTGTTTCCTCTACAGTGTGACAAACGGGATCCAAATGGGATTCGAGTGGCTCCAGTTCCTCTCTACAATTCTTTCCATGATGTTTATAAATTTATCAATCTGTTCATTTCTGCACTTGACTCTGCAGAAACAAAAACAGCCGAGTTTTCCATAGCAACTTAAGCAAATAATATGGAAAGCCTGTGGTTATTTTATTACTATTATTCAAGTTTTAATTATTTCAAAACTGATTACACATAACTGGCAATGAATTGTATACTTTATAGAAAAACAAGACAATTTTTTAAGGGCCTGTGGCCTTGAGATATCTGCATGGCTGTCCAATTTCTTGGTGTTTGGTGGATCAAAGTCTTTACTGGTGCAAGTATTATGTACACAGTCTTGATTAGCTGTCATATTTCATTGTCAATGAAATGTGTTTTGTTGGTTTAATTTATAATTTGACTGACAACTTCACAATGTACGTGGAAATTTTTGTGTCAATTTTAGAAATATTACTTTAATTTTAATTTACCAAAGAGTTTCTTATAGGCACTGTAGTTGAACAGTCTGATATATGTATGCTTTTTACAATGTTCCATCTAACTCCAATGTGAGGAACAGAAAATGCATTTTCTAGGGCAGTGGCTTTCAAATATTTTGGTCACAATCCACACTAAGGAATACATTTAATATCAGAGTTTAATTTGTGTACAAGCCTTATTTCATTGATTCTAATACACAATTTTTTTAATCGTATGTTAACATCTGGTAAAGAAGAAATGTCTTTCAGTTTTCATTCCACAGCTTCTTACAATTGCCATTGGCCATTCTTTCATGTTATCATCCCTGACATTACCATGATTTTCATAGTGAGTAGATATCATCCTAGATCTGGTTTTAAAAATGGTATATATAGCAACAACAAAAGTTGCATAAATTATTTGCTTGTGCTTTCATATTTATTATTTTATCTCATTACAACTAATGGTGGTTGAAGCTCATTAAATTGATTTCTTTACTCACTCTAGGGTCCTAATCCATTTTTCAAGGATGTCCCCTTATTTAATGTTATCATAATCTCTTGGTTTTGTTTAATGGGAATTTCTCCTGATAAAAGACTTCAGATGCTACTATGTTTCTAAAATAATGAAATAAATCACTCTAAGATACTTGTGATTGAGGATTAAGGTTAGGAAATAAGTGCTTCATCACTCAACCTCTATCCCAAATCTATGGACCTTTGTTAATCACTATGAAAATACAACAATTACATTCAGCCCTGTAAGATTCCCCTAGTTCTCAGCTGTTGATGCCATAACCACTATTCATGAATTGGCAAAATACTCTACATTTGTATACATAAGCAGGAAGATAGAGTGACTATGACGGTATTAGTTTAGCCAACCACTTTGAGTGGTAGAGTTAAATAAAAAGTTGCAGAGCTCTGACACCAACACCAGCAACTACTGATATTTATTGAGTACTTCCCATGTACCATGTATTGTGCTATTCTATTTACATGTTATCTCACTTAATTGAGTGGTTGCATAATTGCTTTAGAAAACTTTACCACCTCCACTTCTGGCAAAACTCATCTTTCATAGATGGAAAAATTCTCAAAACCTTAAAATCTGACCATACATGACTTCATCTAGAAGAAACTGTTTTTGAACATCACAGTGGTAAACAAAAAAGACAAAATTTCAGCTCTCAGGGAACAGGTAGTTTAGTGGGGAAACAGATAGTAAACCTATAAACATCCAAGTAAATATATAATTACAAACTGTAAGTTCTTCTATTAAAGATAAACGGTGATACTATGAGAGAAAAATCTTAAAGGTATTAACTAGATAGTTGAGTAAGGAAAGGTATATGAAGGTGCCTATCAGTTAAAGTTCTAAAATATTTGATGTTAATCACATTAAAATTACATCAAATTATGTAAATAAACCATTCAAAGCATCATCAGCACTCTGTCCTCATCACCCAGGTGAAGAAAGAGCATTAAAAACTCGCTTTCTCACAGACTCTGGGAGGGCTCATGCCAAGGAGTACTTGCCAGAACTTCTGCTGCCAGTGTCCTTGTCCCACCGTGAGCCACAGCCACCCCCCGCCTCTACAGGAGACCCTCCAACACTAGCAGATTCACAGAAAGGTAGACAGGATGAAAAGGCAGAGGGCTATGTACCAGATGAAGGAACAAGATAAAACGCCAGAAAAACAACTAAATGAAGTGGAGATAGGCAACCTTCCAGAAAAAGAATTCAGAATAAGGATAGTGAAGATGACCCAGGACCTCAGAAAAAGAATAGAGGCAATCGAGAAAATGCAAGAAATGTTTAACAAAGACCTAGAAGAATTAAAGAACAAACAAACAGAGATGAACAATACAATAACTGAAATGAAAACTACACTAGAAGGAATCAATAGCAGAATAACTGAGGCAGAAGAACGGATAAGTGACCTTGAAGACAGAATGGTGGAATTCACTGCTGCGGAACACAATAAAGAAAAAAGGATGAAAAGAAATGAAGACAGCCTAAGAGACATCTGGGACAACATTAAATGCAACAACATTCACATCATAGGGGTCCCAGAAGAAGAGAGAGAGAAAGGACCTGAGAAAATATTTGAAGAGATTATAGTCAAAAACTTCCCTAACATGGGAAAGGAAATAGCCACACAAGTCCAGGAAGGGCAGAGTCCCATACAGGATAAATCCAAAGAGAAACACGCCGAGACACATAGTAAATCAAACTGGCAAAAATTAAAGACAAAGAAAAATTATTGAAAGCAGCAAGGGAAAAATGACAAATAACATACAAGGGAACTCCGATAAGGTTAACAGCTGATTTCTCAGCAGAAACTCTACAAGCCAGAAGAGAGAGGCATGATATACTGAGAGTGATGAAAGGGAAGAACCTACAACCAAGATTACTCTACCCAGAAAGGATCTCATTCAGAATCAATGGAGAAATCAAAACCTTTACAGACAAGCAAAAGCTAAGAGAATTCAGCACCACCAAACCAGCTCTACAACAAACGCTAAAGGAACTTCTCTAAGTGGGAAACACAAGAGAAGAAAAGGACCTACAAAAACAAACCCAAAACAATTAAGAAAATGGTAATAGGAACATACTTATCGATAATCACCTTAAATGTGAATGGATTAAATGCTCCTACTAAATAACACAGGCTCCTTGAATGGATACGAAAAAAAGACACATATATATGCTGTCTACAAGAGACCCACTTCAGACCTAGGGACACATACACACTGAAAGTGAGGGGATGGAAAAAGATATTCCATGCAAATGGAAATCAAAAGAAAGCTGGAGTAGCAATACTCATATCAGATAAAATCGATTTTAAAATAAAGAATGTTACAAGAGACAAGGACGGACACTACATAATGATCAAGGGATCAATCCAAGGAGAAGATATAACAATTATAAATATATATGCACCCAACATAGGAGCACCTCAATACGTAAGGCAACTGTTAACAGCTATAAAAGAGGAAATCAACAGTAACACAATAATAGTGGGGGACTTTAACACCTCACTTACACCAATGGACAGATCATCCAGACAGAAAATTAATAAGGAAACACAAGCTTTAAATGACACAATAGACCCGTTAGATTTAATTGATATTTATAGGACATTCCATCCAAAAACAGCAGATTACACTTTCTTCTCAAGTGCACATGGAACATTCTCCAGGATAGATCACATCTTGGGTCACAAACCAAGCCACAGTAAATTTAAGAAAATTGAAATCATATCAAGCATCTTTTCTGACCACAACACTGTGAGATTAGAAATGAATTACAGGGAAAAAAAACATATCAAACACATGGAGGTTAAATAACACGTTACTAAATAACCAAGAGATCACTGAAGAAATCAAAGAGGAAATCAAAAAATACCTAGAGACAAATGACAATGAAAACACGATGATCCAAAACCTATGGGATGTAGCAAAGGCAGTTCTAAGAGGGAAGTTTATAGCTATATAAGCCTACCTCAAGAAACAACTCAAACAATCTAAGCTTACACCTAACAGAACTAGAGAAAGAAGAACAAACAAAACCCAAAGTTAGCAGAAGGAAAGAAATCATAAAAATCAGAGCAGAAATAAATGAAATAGAAACAAACAAAACAATAGCAAAGATCAATAAAACTAAAAGCTGGTTCTTTGAGAAGATAAACAAAATTGGTAAACCATTAGCCAGATTCATCAAGAAAAAGAAGGAGAGGACTCAAGTCAGTAAAATTAGAAATGAAAAAGGAGAAGTTACAACAGACACCGCAGAAATACAAAGCATTCTAAGAGACTACTACAAGCAACTCTATGCCAATAAAATGGACAACCTGAAAGAAATGGACAAATTCTTAGAAAGGTATAACCTTCCAAGACTGAACCAGGAAGAAACAGAAAATATGAACAGACCAATCACAAGTAATGAAATTGAAACTGTGATTAAAAATCTTCCAACAAATAAAAGTCCAGGACCAGATGGCTTCACAGGTGAATTCTATCAAACATTTAGAGAAAAGCTAACACCCATCCTTCTCAAACTCTTCCAGAACATTTCAGAGGAAGGAACACTCCCAAACTCATTCTATGAGGCCACCATCACCATGCTAACAAAACCAGACAAAGATACTACAAAGAAAGAAAATTACAGACCAATATCACTAATGAATATAGATGCAAAAATCCTCAACAAAATACTAGCAAACAGAATCCAACAACATATTAAAAGGACCATACACCATGATCAAGTGGGATTTATCCCAGGGATGCAAGGATTCTTCAATATACGTAAATCAGTCAATGTGATAAACCATATTAACAAATTGAAGAATAAAAACCATATGATCATCTCAATAGATGCAGAAAAAGCTTTTGACAAAATTCAACACCCATTTATGATAAAAATTCTCCAGAAAGGGGGCATAGAGGGAAACTACCTCAACATAATAAAGGCCATATATGACACACCCACAGCAAACATCATTCTCAATGGTGAAAAACTGAAAGCATTTCCTCTAAGATCAGGAACAAGACAAGGATGTCCACACTCACCACTGTTATTCAACATAGTTTTGGAAATCCTAGCCATGGCAATCAGAGAAGAAAAAGAAATAAAAGGAATACAAATTGGAAAAAAAGAAGTAAAACTGTCACTGTTTGCAGATGACATGATATTATATAGAGAGAATCCTAAAGGTGCCACCAGAAAATTACTAGAGTTAATTAATGAATTTGGTAAAGTTGCAGGATACAAAATTAATGCACAGAAATCTCTTGCATTCCTACACACTAATGATGAAATATCTGAAAGAGAAATAAAGGAAACACTCCCATTTACCATTGTAACAAAAAGAATCAAAAACCTAGGAATAAATCTACCTAGGGAGACAAAAGACCTGTATGCAGAAAACTATAAGACACTGATGAAAGAAAATAAAGATGAAACCAACAGATGGAGAGATATACCATGTTCTTGGATTGGAAGAATCAATACTGTGAAAATGACTATACTACCCAAAGCAATCTACAGATTCAATGCAATCCCTATCAAATTATAAATGGCATTTTTTATGGAACTAGAAAAAAATATCTTAAAATTTGTATGGAGACCCAAAAGACCCTGAATAGCCAAAGCAGTCTTGAGGGAAGAAAACGGAGTGGGAGGAATCAGACTCCCTGACTGCAGACTATACTACAAAGCTACAGTAATCAAGACAATATGGTACTGGCACAAAAACAGAAACATAGAGCAATGGAACAAGATAGAAAGCCCCAAGGTAAAACCACACACCTATGGTTAACTAATCTATGACAAAGGAGGCAAGGATATACAATGGAGAAAAGACAGTCTCTTCAATAAGTGGTGCTGGGAAAACTGGACAGCTACATGTAAAAGAATGAAATTAGAACACTCTCTAACACCATACAGAAAATAAACTCAAAATGGATTAGAGACCTAAATATAAGATCAGACACTAT